CATGCCAGACACGACACTCATTAGTGAAAATATTTTTTTTTTTTTTGTTTGTAAAAAGAGTAGCACAAAAAAAAACAAAAACCCCCCGCCAAAACCCAAAAGCGTCCTCATGCTGCGGGGGGGGGGGGGGGGGGGGGGGGGAGTACTGCCATATGTGGGCTATATAGGTATGTGCCGCTGTGGAGGGTATGGTTTTCAAGCAGTTTACTCTAGGATAGAGTATATAAATCAGAGCGTTTGGGTCTAGAATAGGGTGTTATTTTTCAGGAAACTGATCAGTTGGTTGAAGATTTTACCTAGACTAGGGATTGTGGTATAAGGTTTTGTTTTGGCTAGACTGTGCTAGTGACCTCAGTAGTTTCTGGAAAACAGCTACTCTAGGATAGGGGGGATTTGGGGAGCTTACACTAGTATAGTGTAGCAAAATTCAGCTGAACTAGCTCTGGTATAGGTTCCAGGGTCCCAGCGGCACATCCCCACCCAGAGATTCCTAAAGTACCCCTCAACACCCACCAGTGACCCACTGGCGAAAGTTAAACTTGCCTTTTGTACATCGTCTTCATCATCAATATCATATACCCTAAAATCTCCAGTGGGTTTGCCCCCCAAAATAATTAAACGAAACCTTTTATTGGCTTTTGGGATTTAATTAAAGAATGACAGGTGTATACCCAATACAATATTAAAATGTAGTAAAGCGACACGATTCAATGCTCAAAGTCTCTCACAAATACCTTTCATTTATAGCTTCCTCTTTCAACGCTACAGCTAAGCGAACTTTGAGAGCAATGATATGGGGTTCCACTACCTCTGAAGAGCTGAAAATACGCACAATGTAAAGTATAATACATCCTTTCACGAACTTCCTATTGTTGTGTCTAAAATCCTCAATCTTGTTGTTTACTGGCCCTCAAAAGTGTGACCAGTCGGTATGATTGCCCATAAAATTTGCTCGACGATAGAAAGGAATCTTTAAAATTCATTCCACCACTGGACATATCATTCCCAAAAAGTACTTCAGTCTAGTTCTTTTTTATGACAATAGGAACCTTAAAATCTCCAAAACCAAGAAATCGGAACGGTATTTCCATGATAAGATTGAAATTTTTATCCGTATCTTCGATGAACACTTTGCTCGCCTTTGAAAGTCACTGACGAGAGACGTGACGTCATACTGGCAGTCGGACTGTATCACAGATTTCCAGACCTTCCCCCCCTGGGGTAGTCAAAAAAGTATCAAACGGGGAGGCTCTTCCCAGAAGTCCAACCCATTACCCTTTTGTATACCTTTTTACACAGGAAAGGTAACAATTTCGTATACATTCCATTGACAAATGGTACACCTTCCTCATACGTAGCACTTTGCATCTCTTTTAACTGCTAAAATGCCCGCAGTCTCTTTTAAACATGAAAAAATCACAAAACCATAACGCTTTCTCGACTTTTTCACAGTCATCAAATGCATTGTTAGCCATTTTGCGGGACCTTTTTATAGATCACAATAATTTACCTACCCTTGCTTTCACATACCTCAATCAATAAATTCCCTAGCCTTTCATATACCTGAAGCCTGAAAAGCACCCCTTTCGGGGCCAATAAAATGGCCTATAAAGTTTCCCTTTATAGGCCATTGTAAGATAGGAAGTAATCTCCCGGTAATCTCCTGGGGGGCTTCGAGATATTCCCCTTATCTATTAAAAGATTTACTTTCATTTTCGTCTTTTATGTAGGCTTACCATGTTCAGGGCAATATTTTGGCTCTCTTAGCAAAGACGCAAGGTGCGCGAAACTTGTAAATGGTACAAACGGCACCTGGTTGATGGTCGACTACAAAACAAAGGAAGATTGGTGTGAATCATTTTTAACGTGTTTCCATTCCTCGGTACTACAAAGAAGATGTTTGGAAGACTTTTATTTCTATAAGNCTTTTATGTAGGCTTACCATGTTCAGGGCAATATTTTGGCTCTCTTAGCAAAGACGCAAGGTGCGCGAAACTTGTAAATGGTACAAACGGCACCTGGTTGATGGTCGACTACAAAACAAAGGAAGATTGGTGTGAATCATTTTTAACGTGTTTCCATTCCTCGGTACTACAAAGAAGATGTTTGGAAGACTTTTATTTCTATAAGGATTTCTTCTTACAGTCACCTACTCAACAGGCGTTTACATTTGAAATAAGCACTTATTTACCTGCTACAAGAATACAGGTCAATTATTGTCCATACCCTTACCTTTTCAGTGTTAACATTATCCATTGTGACTCTGGTGAGAGGTACAACGAAAGCGGTACGTATCTGATTTTGGTTATGATTTTTTAAATAAAAAACTCATGTTGTTGCGTGTTGTTGGGAGTTGTTGGGCAAAGTTTGAAACCGCTGTCAAATGTTTGAGCCAACAACTCCCAACATTTTGTTCCGAAGCGTGGTGCAACAATGTTGGATCCGTTTCTACAGCTCTTCAGACATTGTTGGGGCCACTCACTTGCATTACAAATAGTTTACAAAGTATTCTGGGTTGTATTCTCTCCAGGATGCATTGCAGGTCCCAATATTGTTTGCCAGCACGGACGTAACAACTTTTAACATTGTTGGCCCCACAAAGTTAGGGTTTGTTGGATCCTTTTGCATGTAGCTTAAGGTTCCTACTTTTGTAAGTGAGTAGAACTGCATTGATGATGATTTCCCTCAGTGTCAAAACAAAGATGAACATTTTATCTGCAGCAGTTTTTGTTAAATCATGGCTCCTTTTTTTGATAGGAGCCTATTTATTCTTTAATACTCAGTAATCCAGTAGGCTTTTTTTTTTTTCAAAAAAACGGGTTTCAAAAGTAGAAATTGAATACTCATTTAAATATAACAGCTTTATTTTGTCTTTAAGATGTCACATTTTTTTCTCATTTTT